CTCAGCCCTTCATGAGGAAAGGTGTACTTCTCCAAGCTCTCCTTGAAATAAGATTTTTCAAAATAAGCTTCCTATTATTTGCAAAATAAGTGAAAGTATGCAACAAACATATGCTTGGAAAAATAGCCTACAAATTTAATCATCATCATGTTTAAGAGAAAGCACATACTATGAAGATGAGGAATATGAGAATGGATATTAGAATTAGTAAGGGTTCAGTGAGTGGTTAGATACAAAACATATGTATAACAACAGATTTTCTTTTATTTTTTATTATTATTTTTGTGTGTGTGCTATGCTGGTGTCAGGACCCAGGGCCTCACGCGTGGTAAGCAAGTGCTTTACCATTGAGCTACACTCTCAGCCAAAGCATCAGATTTCTTTTCAGAAAACCAGTAAAAAAATTACAGGTAAGTTGCTATTTGTAAGAGTAATTTAAAACATTCAGAAATCACCTTAATAAAAAATATAAAAGTGCAGGGTCTATATGGAGACAACTATAAAGCTTTATGTTTATGTACACAGGAAATACCATACAGAATGAGAATACTGTTTAAAATATACTACCAACATACATAAACGAAACCTAGAATAAATACATCAAAATGTTAAAAATGGTTATCTCTGGATGTGAGATTGCTGAAAGTTTGTTATAATTTTTATATTTTTTTTCAGATTTTCAGCAATAATTGTTTTTTAATAGAGGGTTTGGCAACTTCTCTGAACCCTAGTCATAGCTGACAGAGAAGGAATGAAACAGAGGAACACCAAAGACTAAACATCAAAGCTTGTGTGCAGCTCCCTTTCACATAGAATCTGGGAGGGAGGGGAGCAGAATAGAAAGACTAAAGATTGGGTCAGACTGGCCAGGAGAAAAATTATGGCTTTGCCACTTAGTCACTACTTGAGAGTAAGTAATGGGAAAGTCATTCAGTCTCTGAGCTCCAGTCTTCTCACCTGTAAAACAGATATATTAACAGCTAATCTGCTGGATTTGCAAAGTTGTTCAAAAAGAGAAAAAAAAACTTACTGGCTAGCATATTCTATACCCTAGAACTGGTTATCCATCAAAATTACATAGGGAGCTTTTGAAAAATAAAATGTATGGACCTCACTCCATATCTACTGAATCAGGGATTCCACAGGTAGGGCCTAGAAATGTACACGGAATGTCATTACAATATACACTTAGGAGTGCATTTCTGATTTTTATACAACCACTGTATTTGGGAATCCTTAAGAAACCAGTAAAGGATGTTACATAAACAAAACTTCAGGAATTTATGTTTTCAAGGATTTTTTTGCTCTTTGTTTTTGTTAACACTTATTAAACAGTCTGTATTGGCATGACTATAACTACTTAAGCAGGAGATAAGATTTCTTTGTACTTTTAGTGATACTGTGATATGTTAGGCACTAAAGCAGAGCTAGTAATGCTTTTACTAGCTTCATGTTGGCTTATTTTAATGGTTGAGATGTTTGTTATAAGACACGTAACCTATCGTTAGCTTCATGTTTAAAAAATATATATATATTTATTAAAATGGCTTGAGTTTCATCTTGTTAGGATCCACTTTTTAAACTTTCCATCCCTTGTAGTTATGCATCGGGCATGTACTAGTCCTCTAGAATTAAGTAGGTTAAACTGTAACAATATGATGGGAGGAACTCTCCAGGGCTTGTTTTCCAAAGAAAAGTATTTAGAGGAACAAAACTTAAACCTCCCTAGGTGTGTTACAAAGTTGTTCAAAAAGTAACTCAGTAAGGCTTATGAATGAAATTATGTAGAAACCAAGTAGACATTCTGCTTTAAAGAATAATAAATGCAGATGATTTAAAAAAAAAAACTAGGGTATACTTGGTATACTTATAAATAATTGATATAAGCTACATTGTTGTTTTGAGTTTTATTGCACTTCATGTGTAAAAAGCCTTGTCTTATAATTAATCCTCAAGTTTCTTAAGGACTGGACGATATCTTTCTCTAAGCCCCTATCACAGAATTACTAGACATACAGGAATTATGGAAGAAATATTTGTCAAATGACTTAGTTTATATAACTAGTTATATAAAGACTAAAATACCAAATTTTTTCTAAATACATTTTTCTTTGGTCCTGGGGATCAAACCCAGGGCTCCATGAATACTAGCAGACACTCTACCACTGAGCTACAATCTTGGCCCTCCAACACCATTTTAAAACAATAAAACTAAATACTAGGACCCTAATATGATATAATTCCTGACAAAGAAGACTTCTCATGAAGCCATCATCATATTTATCCATGCAATATTAGTTACAGGAATACTAAGAGAATTTTTTTTAAATCTTTATTTTATTTATTTATTTTCAAACCCAGGGCCTCGCACATGCTAGGCAAGTGCTCTACCACTTGAGCCACAACTCCAGCCCCTAAGAGAATATTACCCTAAAGTATTGCATGTGGTCTCATGGCATATAGGTCAGTAAATTCACCAAGAACTTCAGAGGATTGGGCTGGAGAGGTAGCTCAGTGGTAGAGCACTTGCCTCTAGCATGTGTGCAGCTCTGGATTCAATTATCAGCACTACCAAAAAACAAAACAAAACAACAAAAAAAAAAACACTCCAGAATATGAACCTCTAGAGCCCTTCTAACTGGTCTGAAAAGGCTGCATTTACACTATGTCTAAAGGATGAATTTAGATGGAATAATTCCACAGGAGAGCATCATATTTATAACGTTGATTGTTCTACTGGAGAATGAAATAAAATAAAGATAAGAAAACATGAAAGGACTATAATAGAACATAAATAGCAGAAAAAGATTATAGGAATGGGGCTGGGGATATGGCTCAAGTAGTGGTGCACTCGCCTAGCATGCATGAGGCACTGGGCTCAATCCTCAGTACCACATAAAGATAAAATAAAGATATTGTGTCCACCTAAAGCTAAAAAATAAATATAGAAAAAAAGATTATAGAAATGAATAAATAATGACTTATGGAAAATTCCCAAAGAAGATCAAAAGATTTAGAAATGGCATTTTTTGCCAAAAGAGAGAATATGTTTGAGAGATGTGTGAAGACAGAAAGCCTGCTCAGTTAACTACTAACTCTATTTTCTTAGCATTCTCCAGGATAACCAGAGTGCCAAGCAGTGGTCTAATGATGGAACTCAGCCCCAGAATTAAAGACATTCCTTTGTGATAGAAAAGTGCTCTGCCACTGAGCTACATCCCCCATCCTAAGACATTGATGACATTTCCTCTAACCATCAGGAACAACTGCAAGGCAGGCTGCTGGTCTGCCCAGAAACAGGGTCAACACTTCAAAGCATGGACTTTTCTAAAAATAAGATCACAGGGTCAATTATTGAAACATGTGAGAGACAGAAAAGAGAGGAAAAGAAACTGAGGGAGAGACAAGTATATATATACAATGGACAGTAACAAATGAAAGCAACAGGGGGACTACCCATTTCTCCAGTATATTCAGTGAAACATTGAATCAGATCAAGTAGATTCAACTTTAGGAAGAAGTGAATGAGGAGCAAATAAAAATCCTCTTCTTTATTAAATGCATCAAACTTTATGCCAAATAATTTACTTCTCATATTGTAAAATGGATTGCTGCACTTACATTTGAAGTATTCTACCCTATTTTTATGTATTTATAATTTTTAAGATTATAAATACATAAAAATAGGGTAGAATAAAAGTGAAGAAGGCAAACAAAAGGTAGCTGGAAAGATGCAGTAGCTTAGATAAACTGCCTCTGTATTGATTCATTAAGAGGCGATTACTAGGAACTGCATTAAGATATATAGAAAATCTGAACAAAATGAACAAGATGAATCATAAAAAGTGTTTTCTGTTTGTGTTAAATACAACAAAGAGTATTAACTGAATCAACAGAAGAGGCCAGCCTAGTAAGATGTTCAAAGTATTGAGAATAAAACTAAAGAGAACTACAGAAAGACACAGAGCAAGAAGCAAATATTTCTGTTTCCCCACAGTCATCATTTAGAAGCAGTCATTAAGAAAACCATACCTAATAAGCATACTGGAGTCTACAATCAAAGAATAATGTAAGTAGCACTTATAATGTGGTTTAGCACAAAAAGGTTGGCCTTCATATGAGGACAGAGTTGAATACAAAACATAGCACTATCATGTACAACTTTAGCAAGTAATCGAATTTCTTCAATTCCTTCTCTCAGCTGTAAAAAACAGCAGCTACCTATAGTTTGCAACATCACTACATTAGAGGTAATGCATGCCAAGTACCTATACAGCACAAGGCAGGTGCTACTGTTAATATAATAATCATTAATATTGTTAGTCTTAATTATGTAGCAATGGAGATAGTCAATGAAGATTTTTTACAGGCTTCAGACATTTCTTTTAAGAGGGAAAAAAAGAAGAAATCTGGGAAACATAACCATCATAAAATATTTTAATAGTATTTTACTTTTGAAATTGTGTTCTAAAGTCTTGCTGAGATTGAAGCTTTGAAAATGCACTACTGCCACCCTTTATACTCATACCATATGAACACAAAAGAAAATGATAATAATAATACCAGCAACCTAATTTTTTTAAGATAAAAGAATTAACATATATGCAAAAAAGATTGTTATTAGGACCATTAATGAGGCAAGGAAATATCTAGGTTGGAACTGCAAAGAGGAATGTATAACCCAGAGACCCATCCAAAAAATTAGAGACTAATCCTTAGCCCTACAAACACAGTACTGGCATGACATTTTGTACAGAATGTCCCCTGCACACATCGATCTTTATGACCCAGACTGAAATTGGCTGAAAAGGCAAGATCCAAAGAATTTACACAGCTTCCGAGGGCCAAGGACAAGTAAAAGAGCTCAAAGCTCAAAACACAAGATTTATCTGCACAGATGATTTAAAGGGATGAATCAAAGTAAAAGTTCTTATATAATAATATAAACTAAATAAAATATATAAATACTAGAATTAAGAATTAAAATTATTTCCATTTACCTGATTGTTTAGAATTTCTTTCTTTCCACTGAATATTTTTGCATTTGATCTGGTTTTGTCTCTCTTTTCGAAGTCGTTCTAATCTTTGAGCTTGAAAAGAAATATTATAACTATAAGTTTGTCAATGAAAGTTTACTATAAACAAAGACATAATTAACTACCTTTATATGAATAAAGATGTTTTATATTGCATATGTAGGGAAAAAGTCATAAAATTTTAAAGGTGGCACCCTGAAAAGCAAATACCAACAAAAACATGAAAATATTCTTGATTTATAATTGAAATTAGAGGATATAAAACATTAATAGAGATCATAAAGATAGTATTAACATGGAAGAGAATAATAAAATGTGAAAACTTCTGTGATTAATATGACATTTCATTATATAAATCATTAATAACGGTCTTAAAGGAATTTTAATGCACAAATGAACTGAAGTGAATATTACATTACAGGAATAAAATTACTGTTATGAATTACTCTACCCGTTTCAAAAATTAAAGATAAATGAACTCAGACTAGACTATTAAAGTTTTAAATATAAAATCCTTTATCTAAAAATCATGAAAATTATAAAATGTCAAAGCTATATAAATTAGCATAGCTTTTCTTCAGTGGGCTGAAACAGTTTATAGGTAGTAAAATAAATGATTTGTATCTTTGTAACATTAGTCAAATCCTAAAAAGAACAATTTTTCTTTTAAAAAATTTTAAGATATGTTAAGAGAATTAAAAAGTAAATTCCTTGGTCATTAGGACAACTAATAATCTGAATTAATTATTAACATCCAGGTGCTACATAAAGAAATTCCAACAATATCAAGAGTCACCTAAAATCATGCATTTGTGATTATACTGCCACTGGCTGATCAGTCTTCAAAAAAATGGAGAACTGAGCCTTTAAAGATATACCATTCAGCATCCATTAACTGCTGCACAGAGATAACAATGAAAGGAAAGTCAAAATTGATGCCATCTCTTGAAACTCATTTTCTCTTGCTAATCTTCAACATCCTATTCTAGCACATTGCTAATAGAAAATAAATAAAATAAATTTCTTTTTCAAACACTTTCAAGGTAGGAAATCATACAATCCTACCTTACATTGTGATAGGGAAACACCAAAAATATTTTTACCAGAAACCTAAAAATACTCTGGCAAAAGCATTCGGTCAATGTCACTATATCTAACCAAATTCCACAGAAGAAAAATACATTGGTTGCAATTAATAAATGTGAAGGGTGCAGCCAATGTAATATAATCATAAAGCTCTTAATTTAGCAATATTCTCCTACTGAAATCCATTCAACCTGTCATATGAGATATCGTCTCAATAATTTGCAAGGAAGTCAGTTTCAACTAAAGAACTCAGAATCAATGATTTCGAATTATATTCAAACCTTCATTCAAGTCATATTTTGATAAAAGTTCCTTTAGATATTGGGAAATAGTATTAATTATTCTCATAAGATCAAATTATTCTTTTTGGTGTCACAGATGCTGAAATTTGAACCAAAACCTTAATGTGCTTTTCACTATAATTGTATCTGGTTCTACCTATAATACTCCTTTATGTAATATTTTATATCCAGATCATGAAAAATAAATACATGAATATTTTCAGTCTTGTAGTTTGACTTCTGTCACAATCATAGGGCATTAGCAGGTTACTATTGCTGATTTGGAGATTATATTTTCTGATGATCTAAAAAATAATAATTATCTCCTAGAATATCCTATTATTTCAGAACTACAATATGTATTCTAAATAATTTATCTAATTAAAGGCCTTGGTTCATCATATTCCCTGTGAAAGGAAAAAAATTTCAAACTAGAAAACAGGCAATGAAAAACCATTTAAAAGATAACAATATATATACCAAAGTTGAGCATTTTCAAACCACAAAGATCAAGGTTAGTGGTCAATAAAGATAAAGAATCAAAAACAGAGGCACCTTTTCTAATCTCACACCCAAAGTGGGAATTCCTATTAGGACCAACCCTAACAAATAAAGAGCTGTCTCTGCCACTCCCCAACAGCCCCCCCCTCAACAATTCCTCCATAGATAACAACTGTCTGGAGCCATACCTTATACTCCTTGGCTAGTCAGCTGTCTGTGTTAAAGGTTCTTTATTGTATCAACCTGAAATCTGCCTCCAGGGAGTCTATCTACTGGGACTAGTGTTGTTCTGAAAAGACACTCAGAACAGGTCTGGCTCCATTTATACATGATGACTTTTTAGAAAATAACATCCAGCATGTCTCCCCTACCCACTTTCCACCAATACCTTTTCTGTCTCCTTCCTTCTAATTACATCACTCCAGAGGACCTCTCCATTCATACTCAAAGAGATGGAGATGTTACTTAAGACTCGTTCTTAGTCTGACACATGCGTGTTCCTCTTATCACACAGAAACTCCCCCCTTCCAATATAATGCATTATTCCATACGACTGTTCACTAATTTAAAGCTCAGAAGACATGACTGGAAATAAAATTAAGGTTTACCTGTGTTTGAGCGTCTTCTAATACCAAAGTCCCAACTTGAGGTAATATCGACTGACTGGGCGTATACATAGCCCTGAGTCTCGCCATTGCTTCCCTGAATTTCTGACCCACTGTCTCCAGGCATTGAAGGAGGATGAATCTTCTCTAGGTCAACATCATGATCAATGAGAACCATCTCACACATTCCTGTGTCATCACTGGTCACATGTGACTGCCGAATATGAGCTAGAATGATAGTTGGATTGTCCAAGAAGGCCATCCTTTCTGTGGGCCAATTTCCTTAAAAGGCTATTTTCTCCTCTTCATATTGTTTCACCAGCTCACCTACCTAGAAACATGATGTACACAGCAATATTTAAGAATAAGGCAGAAAACGACTGAATCATTTTTCAAACAAATTCAATGTGGTAAAATGCTACCTTGAAAATCAACATTTATCCCTGTACCGAGGAGCTTAAAAGGATTAAGTCTAAGCTGAAAGGAAATCCTTATAAGCACTAGGGGCTATGGCTCTGGTCAATGAAATCTCTCTGTGGTATCAGAGAGGAAGGCTTGCTCTCTTGCAAAACAAATAACAGTAACCTCTTAGTCAGGCTACTTAAAGCACATAACTAATGCTGAAACAATAAGTTCAAGTCTTTCTTTTTCTATTCCTTCTCATTATTTTGTAAGGAACAAACTATATTTTCCTCAAATGATGTGCTTAAGTATAAAACTTATTTCATCAGTTTACATTTTCCCTTTTGTCTTATGGTTATGAAGTGTTTAAAAGGGCACAGAGATTTGACAAAGGTGTACCACCAAAGTAATTTTGTTCAATAAACATATTTTCTTTTTTTTTAATTTAAGACAGTACTGTGTTTTTTTTTTCAAGATAGAGTGAGAGAGAGGAGAGAGAGAGAGGGAGAGAGAATTTTTAATATTTATTTTTTAGTTCTCGGTGGACACAACATCTTTGTTGGTATGTGGTGCTGAGGATCGAACCTGGGCCGCACGCATGCCAGGCGAGCGCGCTACTGCTTGAGCCACATCCCCAGCCCCAGTACTGTGTTTTTAAAATAAAACTTATTAATCAAAACTGCCTTGCTATAAGATTAATTTCTTATTTTAGAAACCTAATTATAAGAACTGCTTCCTCAATCCTGTTAAAACTATAATGATGTTTATTCTAGGAATGTAGATGGTACCTCCTTGGTTAAATGAGAATACTCACAAAACAGAACGGAACCATTGTTTCTGTTAGGAACTAGGTCCTAGAGACCCACTGGGTTCAAATCCTGGCCCTATCAGTTGCTGGCAATGTGATCTCAGTCAAAACATTTAACACTTTTGAGCCTCCTTTTGTTCTTCATTTATAAAATGGAGGTGCCAGGTAAGAGAGGATACACAAGCAAAAACGCAGAAAAGTGAACAAGTAGGTAGTACATAATTAAGCAAACATAGGCTGCTATTAATAAGGTTGATGATGATGGCAAAAAGATCACTACTATTTTCAGATTTAATTCTTGTTTAAGGTAGTCATAAATATACCAATATTTCATCCATCTTCAATAAGTTCATGGAAGATAAAATAAGTCTGGTTCTTTTGTGATAGAAGACACTGCAGGTTACCTCAGTCACCTCCTTGCTCTTTCAAAATGGTTTAGATCTTGAAATACAAGGAATGTGAAAGCTGGTTTGAAAATGTTCCTAGAAACAATCCTATGAAGATTTTTATTTTTAGAAATAACTATAACTGGGTCCGGGGCAGTAGGTGAATGACAGAACACTTGCCTACCATACACAGGCCCTGAGTTTAATTCCCAGTACTGCAAAAAAAAAAAAAAAAAAGAGAAGAGAGAGAGAGAGAGAGAGAGAGAGAGAGAGAGAGAGAGAGAGAAAAGGGGCTGGAGATATAGCTCAGTTAGCAGAGTGCTTGCTTTGCATGCACAAAGCCCTGGGTTCAATCCGAAGCACCACAAAAAAATTTTAAAAAGAGAAAAAATAAATATCAATAACACCAGATTTTCTTGTCATTTGTGTCTTCTAGAAATGAAAAACAGGAGGTAACCTATTTAACAAATCATTACAGCTAATTGAGGTTTCCAAAAATTTTGTTCAAGGCTGGGATTGTGGCTCAGCGGTAGAGCGCTCGCCTAGCACAGGCGGGACCCAGGTTCGATTCTCAGCACCACATAAAAAAAATAAAAGCATTGTGTTGCGTCCGTCTACAAAAATTTTGTCCAGTAACACGTCATTCTACTGCCATTAACTCGTGGATCTTAAAGACACAGAGATTAAAGAATGTTTTACTGAGAAGCCCTAAATCAAGTAAGTTACACTACTATTCACTTTTTCCCTTAAATATATTAACTACTTATTTACACTAAGGCTAAGAAGAAATACCTGAATCAAAAGTTTATGCCCTAATATAGACCAACTACATCCCTAATATTAATCTTTTAAGTAAAGTTCTGAAATATTTGGTCTCAAAACCATTAATGTGCTATTTTAAGTAGAGCAGTCAAAAATTATAAATCTAAAAGGGAGCTTTTAAATTTCACTTATAAAAATAAGAACTTTTTCTATAAACATAAGAAATGTATACACCCCCAAATGAGAGCATTTTCACGGGATAGGATCACAAACTGCCGGAGCTGCAAACATCCTCCTGTAGCAACCACAATAAACTGTCTTCCCTCCATGGAAGCAAGGCAATGGGTTGCTAGCAGAGGAACAGGTGCTCCCACCTTCATCCTGAATAGTTCTCCCCTGCAAAAACAAGGACTTCAATAAGAAGCCATACATTGGGAGGGTGTTCTGACACTGAAAAGTCAAATGACAAAGGGCAAAGCAAAAGGACACTTAAAGGACGCTTAAGTACCTTCAATAAAATATTTTTCAGCAAAATTAATCTGCTTCATCCCAGCTTAGAAAGAAGAATGGGCAAATACCTCTAAAGGCACACACCTGCTCCCCATCTTTATCCTTACAGAAGAGAGGCCTCAAAACACCCTAAGATCAGCAGAGATCTTCTCTATTAAATACTATCACTTTGTACATAGAGGAATCTGTAGGATTCACTCAATCATTCCTTCCACACCAGTTTTAATAGAGAACTCCCACAGGCGGCCCTGGGAAATGTGCCATTTTGTGTGTCACTTTCCACCTCCTGTTCCGTGTTCTTGAAGACTTAAGACTATAAGTTCCACAAGGACAGGGGCCATCACACCACATCCCTTCTGACAAAAGGTGTTTACACATGGCAGGAATTCAATACATGTTGCTGTCCAACTTCCAACAACTATCCAATTTTGTTGTAGAGATAAGTCATATATGAGCATGTCAGGTTTAAGTGTGATTATAAAGAAAGGATTGCCTTTTTTTATTAATACAGATACAAGAGCTTCTCTTCAATGTGCCCTTCAAAATTGTCACCTTGGGACATTATCAACTTATTCCAACAACTCTGCTTTTCAGAACCAAAAGAATATTTTTTTTAAATCTCCTTAAGAACAGCCAAGTATCATTTGAAGGTATACTTGATTTCTAAGACAAACACATTCAGAATACAAATGAAACAACTTGTTCTCTGTTCACTTGTACAAAAAGCAAAATTATTTTTTAAGACTAATATTGGCAGGAGTTCAGAAAAATATGCACTATAAAGCAAGTAAAACTTAGGATTTTTTAGAGAATAATTTGGCAATGTTTACCAAAATGAAAAACATGAACACCCTTTGAGCAATCATACTTTTAGAATTTAAGAAAATAATTGTGCAAAAAATGTTTCTCAGAATTGTTTACAATATGTAATAAAAATCTAAACATCCACTAACAGCACATATACTATGATACATACACATAATAGAATACTTAACAATGATTAAAAACATAACAGGCTGGTTAAACAAACAAATGTGGTATATAACATAGGATAGAATATTATTCAGCCTTAAAAATGAAGGAAATTCTGACATACGCTTCAACATGGATGAGCCTTAAGAATATCTTGTGAGGGGGCGCTTAGCAGTAGAGCGCTCACCTTGCACATGGAAGACCCTGGGTTCAATCCTCAGCACCACATACAAAAATAAACAAGTGAAATAAAGGTGTTGTGTCTAACTACAACTAAAAAACAAATATTAAAAAAAAAAGAATATCATGCTAAGTAAAATACATACTTCCCATGGCATATGTACCTTAAACATGAGACAATCATGTCCAGCTCCATGAGGTCAGTTTCCCAAAGATTCCTTATTTTACAGCTTCTTTCTTCCTTGTTTTTTTTTTTTTTTTTTAACAGTGCTGAGGATGGAAACCAAGACCTCACTACATGCACACTATCACTGAGCTACTCCCCCAGCCTCTTTCTCCCACTCTTTAACTACAGGTTCTTTAAAGCATAAAGATTTGTTTTACTGAAAATGGAAGCAGTAGGGACATCCATGCAGAATGAGAAGATAGTAAGAGATGTTCAAACAACAATCATTTTTAATGTACTGGGCTGGATCTCCTTATAAAAGACAATATTCAACAAATATTTGCTAAGTTCCTACTACCTGCTAATAGTGGTTCCAGCTGCACTTTGGATACTGTTACCACTTTGCACTTTCATTTGAACATGCAACCTACATGTGGTAACTTGAGAATAATTTTAGTAGGTTTTGGATATCAAGTCTGAAATACAATTTTTTTTTCCTGTGCTGCATTTTAAACTGAGAGTCTTGCACATACTAGCCTAGTACTCTACCCCTGAGCTCCATCTCTAGCTGAATACAATTTTTAATAACAACTTCATGTACACACAAACTCTCAAACTTCATCTACAATGGCTTCTAGAAAAATATAAAGTATGACATGGTAAAACACACAAAGAGTTGGAGAAAGTCGCAAAGAGGAAGTAATTCAGGATAAATTCATACACCATGGCATGACATAAGATCTTGTACATTTACCACAGGTAAACTGCAGAATCTCAGAAGCAAAATACAACTGTAACAGCTAACCTTAACTTACTATAAAAACTAGAATTGTTCTAAGCCAAGCATGGTGCTATATATCTGTAATCCCAGTGTCTTGGGAGGATGAGGCAGAAGGATCACAAATTTTAGATCAGCCTCAGCAATTCAATGAGCCCCTAAGCAACTTAGCAAGACTGTCTCAAAATAAAAAAAATAAAAAGAGCTGAGGATATGGCTAAGTGGTTGAGTACCCCTGAGTTCAATCCCTAGTTCAAAAAAAAAGAAAACAACTAGAATTGTTCTATCCTTGTATATGAATTAATTCATATAACCCTCAAGATAACCCTATTTAGTTACTATTTTTATCCCCATTTTACAAATGAAA